ATACACGGGACCCAGTGGAATAGGCAAGGCGAAACCCAAACCACCGAAAAAACAGAGCGAAAATTGAAAAAGAGAGAATACAATCTGAAGGAGAACAGCCCGTGACGCACAGCAGGGTTCGTGACCACTAGTCTCACTTTGGAGAGCTGAATTGAAAAGAAGAGAAAGTAGGTATTCAGTAGAAGAAATTCTGTTGACCGTGGTCTCCCGGCACGCCTCTGGCGACCCCTGCGAGCTTTAGCTGGTACTTGATGGAATTGATTTGACCTGTAGAGAAGACCGTGGTTGCCCCTGGCATTCACGGTGAAGAAATAACGTTCCGGCAAGAAAGGAGAAGGCGTGGTAGGAGATGATGTGCAAGACTTCACCCATAGTCTTGAGCATGGAGTGGAATGTGCATAGGAACAAAGTCTTGAAGTAGGAGTCGATGCCACGGAAAAAGAAGTAAATCCGATAGTCCACATGCAGCGGGTCGCAAAAGAGTAGTCCAGGAAGGAGAAAGTTGATCCTGCACTGGCGCCATCAGTACAGCATAACCAGGACGAGTAATATATCGTTCCAGCAAAACCAAGGAGCAGAAGAGGAAGGAGATGAAATGCAAGACTTCCCCTATAGTCTCGAGCTTGGAGGTGAATGTGAAAATAAGAAGAATCTTGAAAATGAAGAAAATGTTGCAGTTGGAGAACTTCGCTGGAAACACGGCAGGAGCAAAAAGTGTAGAAGAATCGGGCCACGATGTAGACAGAGTAGATGACCTCGAAGTACTGGGTTTCCGATGCCTCCATGACTTCAATGGAAACTGCTTCAATAAAAAGGGTAGTCAATAGGAATAGCTTCAATAGGTTGTTTCAACCAAACATGCATCATAAAAGACTGGGAAACGGTCAGCGAGCGGATAGAAAGCGAGCTAGAGCTTGTGCCAGTGCCTATATCTCATTATATCTCATTATATCCTCAAATTATGATCATACCGCGTAATGATTGGACATCCAATGGGATGTCCTCAGGCTATATACAATGCGTAGGGTGTACTGAGGATACAATAGGTTTTTTCCGTTTGTCTGAAAATGGGGTGCCCTCAACATCATTCTTTCCACGAACATTGCCATCTTGAAGTATATGTCCCTTTTGGATCATGTGTGCCCTGCTGGCTGGATGCCACCCAGTTCTGGTGTAGTGTGTTGGCGAGGTCCTTCGCGGCTGCCGCAGTGTCAAGAGGCATGGTGCTGAGTGGAAAGCCCTAAATGTGGCTGCCTACGCCAGCACCGGTGTGACTGTGGTGTCTGTGGTGATAACTCGGCCAGATCCCGAGCTGTGGCATGCTAGAACACGTGAACGATGCTAAAAGAAGCCTGCTGAGTGTGTCAGGTGTCTTTCAACCAAAAGTGGCAGCCATTGCGCTGCTCCCCATGCCTTGGCTGCCTCGACAAGGTGTTTGAACTGGGCCATGTCGGGTTGGCGTTGTGCGGCCATCGATTTTGGCGGAAGGGCAATTGAGCCGATACCTGGCGGAGGCGGCACGGGTGCGCGATGATCACATAGACATATGCGTGCAGTCGTGGCATTCTTGCATACATGGACAGGCATGTGTTCCTGCGGCGTAGTCGTAGTCAACAAAAACCAATGAATCGCGGATGTGACTGCACAGAAATCTCAAAATCTGCTGTTGACCCTGGCAACTCTACCACACTGCTGTTGACCCTTCTGCGATGGTGCACGGCGCGTCATATTTTCATCCGCGATGGTGTGCTCTCTCGGGCCGGCGCGGCGCAGCTACATATGGTGTGCTTCTGCCCGCTCTACGTTGAAAGGATGTTCTGTTTGGATGGGGGTCTGTCGCTTCGCGCACGCCCCTCACTTTTCAACTATCGACTGTCTAAATGATGGAGATTCTCCGATTTTTCCATTTGGGAAGTCTGATTAGGAAGGGATCGTGTGCCTATGAACTGAGTGCACTCACCCCCCGCTCCAGCTTGAGAAACTACAGCCCAATCTACTGAGAACGCGAGTTCACCAAGAGCTCTTCGCAGTGGTTCAGGTGCATCGATATGTCGTGCGGCTGATGTAAAAGGGCCACGATCCGGGCACAGCCTAGGTGGGCAGGTGACTCGTTGGATTCAATATATGTGAATGGAGCATCAATGAAGGTGACATGAACTTCCCCATGACCCTGCAACCCGTAACAAAGATCGCATTAGCCAAACACTTGTCCATCCAGTGCTGATTCACATTCTCTTCTGATTGGGCGACGTCAAGACAGCTATGCCCTCAAAGGAAAATCAATGAGTGTGCACAAGAAAACATCAACCTTGAAAAACTGCGATCAAAGCCGCTGTGAGGATCCCAAGTGTCAAAGGCCTGATGTTGCAACTAAGGTTCAAACGACACTCGTGCAAAGTCATGCTAGACTCACGTCAAGGCAGAACAGACATGACAAGGGAAAACGCTAGGTGCTGGTGCCCGCTGCCACAACCGAGGTAGTGCAAAGCAGGCATGACTGTGTCTGTGCGTGGCTCAAGGATTCATGATCATGGACTGAATCAGTTGGGACGTGAGCTCCTCACTCCGCAGCTCACGCCGCAGCATGTGGAATGCTGGCAGGCTGCAGACTGTCACAGCTGTGCAACTCACTTCACTTCGAAAAGAGGATCCTGGCACAAAGGTTTCCTCAGTACGTGTGTTTGTGTGTGCTGGGCATTCTCTAGCCTCGCTCTGTTTTTGCCCCGGAGAGCTGAGCATCGGGCGCCGAAGGTTGGCTGAGCTAATGACTGAGGTTCCTCCAACTCCTCGGCTTGGATCATGTTGGAGATGTTGATGGCGAGTCGTGCCCTGGTTAATCCCTGGCCAAAGTCTGGAGGCTCGATACGTCATGCCACCATGGCGCAACCCCCGATCTACCAGGTTCCTATTGATTTTTTTTCGAGCCTCACACCTTCAGCAGTCGGCATCGAGTCTTCTCATGTTCCTGCGCACAATTCTTGTGCTACATAGCATTGCCATCTTGCAGTATACCCCTTTTGGACAAAGCCACATTATGGTAGTGAAGATTTCATTCAGACCAAATAGCTGTTTGGGGAACTACTTATTTCTGGTTGTTTGGGGTTCCAAATTACAATTCCTGGCTCCAGCATTTAGACATGGCTACCCAACTTGACTTCGTTTATCTTGTGGTTGAGAAAATACATGATTTAATAGCTTACATGCACACGACGAATTGATGCCCAAAACCTTCTACCCTTTCCTCATATGGTGCTGCTTACTTGATACTGATTCTTTTGGTGATTGCGCAATCACCCGTGAATCACAAATCCAGTTTCTCTAAGCCATACCACCATCAACTACGAGTTGTTTGGCTTGGTGTTGTTTCTACCACTCTCTCCCAGATATTAACCGCCTGCTGGGATCACCATGCACTTGCGTAACTTGTGACATGGCAATCTCCATCACATTTCCATGTCTCTCTCTGCGGGATACCAAAAACATCTTCATTAAAACGAATCGAAATCACACTATAACCACCAACCATTGAGCAGTCGGTCTACCTACTACATGTTTATTTGCTTCATTTAAATCCCTTTTCTTGCATTTCTGTGGGTTAAGTCCCCTTTTCTATTACTCAAATGTCAATCTTGTTCAAAATGAGTTTATAAGAAAAGATATGGATAAAGGTGTTACATGTGTATAATATATATATATATACATATTATATATATATATAAGATCTCCGGTTGCACTGCCTTTTTTCCATGCCAGCTATGCACTGCGTGAGTTGTTATGCACAGACTTCAGCTTGGACGGTTCTCACAAGCGTCGCTGAAGTTGACCCAGCTTTGGATGGACTGCTCATGGGATGGGACGTAGTACAGGGAGGGTTGTCTTGAGCGGCAAGGAACATGCATTTCACCATCGAACTTAGAAGTGCAAGATCTCCGGTTGCACTGCCTTTTTTCCATGCCAGCTATGCACTGCGTGAGTTGTTATGCACAGACTTCAGCTTGGACGGTTCTCACAAGCGTCGCTGAAGTTGACCCATCTCTCCCATCAGTTCCTTGTAACTTGTCCAGACCAAAGCAAAAACCACACATTGCTCGGAATTCGTGCCATCCAGAATTCTTCAGATTTTACGAGAGCCGTAGAGAAGAAATCGCACAGGGTATAGACTTTGTACCGTGCTGATTCAGGGATAGCAGAAAGAAATTGAAACGATGACATCTCCTGGATGTAGATCTCCATTACTCGGGTATTTATCCAACGGCCTCTTCTCCGCAAAAATTCAGAATTTTCAGTAACCTGTAGTATCCATGTTGCTCCACCAGGACGAAGGCTACCTAAATCAAGAGTCTTATGGTTAAGCCTCACTGATCCCAGACCAAGTTCGCTCATAACTTGTTTGAAGCGTAGCCGCAAGGTCTGACCTGACTTCTGCCATAGCTTTTGATAGGGAGCAGTTCTTGAGAACGCCAAATGGACGACCCTTAAGAGATCAGGGATGTCCAACTTTGCGCATTGGTGTCTGGCCGCAGTGAACCTGGTTTTAGGCTCCTTAAGAGCCAAAAGAGCAAAACTGTTTGTAAAGCAGGTATCACAAGGCAGTAGAAGATCCTTCCTAGTTGCCTGCAAAAATTCGCCAACTCTCAGTAAAGCTCCCCAGCACAAGGCAAACATACCAGCCATATCGGTCCACCCCCATACCAAGCATAGGGATATAGCAGAAAGTAAAACCTGCCAGGGCATCGCTAAATGGTGGGCCGTAGGTTCGTCTCTGATCCAAGCGAAGGCAAGGTTCCAGGCCTCTTGTAATTGTCTTTTCACAGCAGGTTTCTTCGAAGCTATGGAGTTGATAGTTTCAGCGTAATGATTATAAGGTCGTCCTGCAGAATAGAGTACACGCCCGTATCGCACCAGCTGTTTGTTCAGCTCGTCAATGTAAACATGATGATGCTCCAGCAAAGTTTCCAGTGATATACCTAAGTCCAAAAGCCAGCTCTCAAATTGAGAGATCAACGTGTCTCGTTGTTTGCTTGTGACTCCAAGTACAGGTCTCCCATCCTGCAAAGGAGGCCTCAGGTCTCTTTGGCCTTGTCGCTGAAAATCACCAGCATTCCGGGGTGCAATAACGCCATGGCTCAACCCTACACTACAAGCTAAAACTACCAAAATCCATCTAAAATAGCTGACCCTGCTAACGAAGAAAAGAGGACCTTCACCAGGGTAGCCCAAGGTGGCATCGAAATCCAAGGAAGGAAGGCGGAGCACGGAAGAAAGAGGCAAGTCGGAGACAACACCGAAAGGGAAAGCACACATAGGATACAGGGAATGGTCAGTGAGATAAAGGGCAGGCGACCCTAACACACGAAGGATGAGCCGAGTCCAATTTGAAGCCCATCTCTTTAAGCGAGGCAACGCAGCCAAACGATAGAGGTCCCTGCGACTCCAGGCGGCTAAGTCCAGGCCCGGAGTTGGGTCCCTCAAAACCACATCACGTGTAGGATCATCAGACGGGTTCAACCTGGTAGGAGCAAAACCAAAAACGGGGTAAGCCCTCCAACGATACAAAAAGCCGCAAGCCTTGAAAGAGCCCGAGAAAGGGCCTTCGATGAAGATCTACCCTTTGATGCTGCACACCTCACAACATTTGAGTCAATAAGGATTACTAACCGGAGAGAAACCCCACGTTTCACAAGCTTTTGTATTAACCTTAGCACAGCTTCAAGCTCAAGAATATTGATATGAGAGCTGACTCGGTATGTCCAGACAGACACCAGCTCCCACTTCTGAGACGAGCACAAATCGTTCAGCATCTGGCTTTCCAGACCATCCACTGAACCATGTGCAAGGCTTTCTTCAAAAGCTGCAAGGCGCAGGATTCCGCAGGCCATCACCTTAGCTAGTGCAACTGCAAGATCATGGACATAAGTTGCTGAGGCTTTCGTGAACTTACCTTGGACCAAAACATGGTCATGGTCTCCAGTGCATCTCAAGGATATATGTTGCACTTCGGCCCAAGCACACAAAAACGCAAACGATTTGAGGTGGGCTGACCCGTAAGCACAGGAGTCGCATCTTACCAAGGCAACATGTTCACAGCTTTGCAATGATTGCCATGCTGGGAGAAACTTGATTTTTGAAGACCATGGGTTCTCAATCACACCGGTTACTCCATGCTTTACGCAAAAATGCAACAGCTGAAAAGCTCTGTGGGCCAATCTGGTCCCCGTTCTCGTATGCAACTCATCAGGCTGAAAACTAAAAGGTTGATGCTTGGATCTCAATGCTGGTCTCCTCATGACACTAAAAGTCGTGCAGGGGGGTTCGAGCATTATGGCTTTCACATAACCGTTGGTCACCAGGTGAATCAACCATTCCAACACATGCAGCTTGTCAACGTCCAGCTCAGCACTAAAAGACAAATCAATAGGAGGACCAACAGTAAACCCCAATGCAGCCACCTCTTTGGTCACAACTGAAGCTCCAGCAAAAACCTCGATGAAGTCAAAACGGTAAGCCAGAGGCCTCTTAATGCTGTCAGAAACGTAGGGCTCGTTCTCTTCGAAATCCAGAGCACGTGCCAAAACTGATTGAGATGGTGATAGAAGTTTGGAATAACCACCCTTGGATCTGCAGCAACGCCACAAGCAGGTGGCCAGTTCCTTGTCAATATGGCTCCTGACGATTGCTCCCTTGTTCAGTGATGCATCTGTCGCAAACAGCTCGGTGCAAAAGTCAGCGGCAACATCGGCCACGCAGAGAGGCGCCAAGACGCCCAGTAAGCACAGCTCTGTTGCAACCTTACGTGGCAACTTCACTAGCTTTGGGCTAGAGGCATTAAAAAGGGCCATATCAACAAGCTGGAAAGAAGACTGCAGGATTGACATGAAAGGTCGCCTAAACATAAGGGCAGACGTCCAACCACCAACCAAACAGAGATGTAAAGCGTCTGTCGTATGAGTCAACTGGCTTACCTGAAATGAAATCCATGCGAGAGCATATCTCTTTTCCGCAGGAGCTGCTACCAATACATGTCCTTTTTTCTGGCATTTTTCCGAGGCATTGACGCTAGCACCTATGATTTTGGCTTTTCTGGATCCAACAATATCTTTGTCATCTGAGCCTATTATCTCGTGTTTCGTGTACACCCTTTTGGAGGTGCTGAGGCATGAGAGGGAAGGATCTGCCACCAATACACTTCGAGGTACTTTCGCAATTGCAAAGTAATCATCAATTACCAGTCCTTCGCAAACTCCATCACCTTGGAAAGGACGGGAAGACAGGACCCTGGAGGTTTCATTCAAAAGTCCAACTGACTGCAGAAGCTGCTCATGTGCTCTGGTTGCAATTTCAACACCGGCATGGTCTCCCTGAAATAGGCTACCAAAACTCACCATACAGAAACCTTCAGGGCAAGTTGAAAAGGACTGTCGGCAGGAAATTCCAAGGCGGTCTCCACCAACGATACGACTCTTCTTGGCAGCTTGCTTGGCACATGCAAAGGAGGCCATAGCTTGGGTATCTTTCAGGAGGCCTATAGGAATCCTAGGTCCAACTGTATTCGACCTGATTCGATTTTCAGTGCACCAAAACTGATGATAGAAGTCGCGCCTATCTGTGCATGATATGGAGAGTGTCTCTTTACGTGCATCTACGAACAGATCAAGAAGATCTGGGCCTGAGGGCAAGTTTTTGGAAGGTCCGGACACCCTACCCTCCACTGAGTTACGGCCTCTTCTATCACCAATCTGTCTGTCGCACTCCAGGTTTTTAAAACAATTGAAGACTCGGACAAGCTCAAAGTGCCTTTCCCGTTGCAGGTCGGTTTCATGTATATGTAGTAGCCCACGTGCATCCCAAAGTTTTGCCAGCGAAACGACCTCATCTTGTGGGTCCATTCTCAAAGGATATTCGGAGGCACCAGGAGTTCTATCAAGCAGCAAGGAGTCAGGATACCTATAAGCCATGCAAAGTTCAGGGCAAAGGAAACTAGTTGCGTCAAAATGGCCAAGACCAACCACCTTCAAACGGCTAGCATCAAGCGTTCTGTAGGGCTCGGTCTCATCAAACAAACTGTTGTCAAGTGGCACATCATGACCTGGGTAAGTTTTCTCATAGGGACCTGCTCCAGCACCTAATTTTGTCAAAGTTCCAGACAGCTCGGAAAGGCGGGCTATCAATTGGTGAAAACGTCGGCCACTGCGCAACGTGCAAAGCTCGCCTAAAGTGGCAACGATTCCTCTTGGAAGATGAAAGACCTGGAGGCATCCTTGCAAAAACTCCACAGTATGGGACTGGCAAGGGGAAAGCCGGCGATGACGAAGTCACAGTGCTTCGTTGCAGGTGCAAAGTGGCATGAAGAAAAGCTGAAAAGGAGGAGCGTGTCCTCAATACTGAAATGGCCAAAAATGAACACCATTTTTTAAAGGACAGGGTGTCCACAGGGCTCCTATGAATTCTTGTATGCTTCGGGGCTTGCACTTCAAAAGGGTCATCCTCGGATAGGCATTGACAAGGACATGACCGGCATTTCATGCAAACAGAGTCAAAAGTTTTATGGTTAACTCTATCATTAATTACATGAGCTACAGGTTCAGAGGCGTCTTTGCACCTTATGAACTTCTGCTTAGGCGTCTCATCTTTTAGGCCTCTGGAGCGGCCTTTGCTTTTGGCTTGCGAGGAAACTTCGGCTTCCTCTTCGGGGATGCTTCGCGATCCGGTTCGATAGCTGCTGTGCTTGGACTGCCTTCGGTTTGGGAGGGCGCCTTTGCACTGCGTTTTGCTGTCTCCCCCTTTTTTGTGGAAAGCACTTCCAGATCTTTCAGATAAGCTAGGCAAACTGCAGTCCACGGCGGTGGAACTAGGGGGCCAAAAGGCCTCGCATGGTGAGCTATGCTGGCGGTCCGATCTTGGAAAACTTGGATTGGGGGTTCCTCCATCAAGGTCAGCATGAAGGCCAGCGTCCAGTCTCCTCTGTCGATCACAGCTTGTTCGACCGAAACCATCAGCAAAGCGAGCAGTTCCTTCGTCATATGAAAGTCTCCTGCTGACGCAGCATCTATTGCATGACCTAGTACCCAGGCAACTAAACCTAATTCCCGATTGTTCCGGTAACCTCCTTGCCTTTCTAGGTATTGCAGCACCGACAGGGATTTCAGATTTTCCTCTGTCTGAGGGACCGGCTTGGAGGGATGAAGTCTGCGGTGCAATTGCTGCATCATCTGCAAGAAATACTGGCTGTTTCCACAAGCTAGATCGTTCTGCATTTTCTCTCTGCGTTGAACGCCTTTTGTTGAACTCCCAACTTGCCCTGGTGTAGCAAGATCTCCTAGGACGTCCCCTGACTGGGCCGTCAGGTGAGCTACCAAGGCCGTCAGCGCTGTGCTCTGGTTGGTCAGTGCAGCAAGCATTCCATCTGAACCTTCTTGGGGCTGCAAGGCATCGTACGGCTCGTCTCCTTCGACAACGGCTGCACATTGGGGCCCGACCACATTTTTCGTCTTGGGAGGAGGTCCTATTAGGCTCAGTGCTTTTGCTCCAATGGTCTGTGATACGCCACTGGGATTCGGCAACCCTGTTGACACAGCCGGCAGTTTGGAAGCCGGCCCAACATACTGTCCTGGCGCATCGGCGGCAAAAGAGCTTGCCATCTGTTCCATGCGATCCTGACGTTGAGTGATCAGCTGAAGTTGGGCAACCACTGCCGTCAATTGGTCGGCAATCATTGCATTCGATACTTTCTTGGCAGCGGCTTTCTTGGGCGCAGTAGCAGCTTTTGGAGGGTTTGTTTCCTGGTCTTCTTGAGCGGAGTAAAAACCCGTCCTATCATCAGATCTCTGAAGAAGCCACTCACTGACCTGAGCCAAGAGCACGGATACATCAGGCAGACTGGATGGATGATCATTTGAAAAACCCAGGATCGTCGCAAGGGAGTCCGAGACTGGATCGTACTCCCTACATTTTGACAAAATGTCATCATGCACATCAACCACAAGCACCTGAGCCTCAATCCCAAGAGGCACTGCAACTGGGGTCGGGAGATCATCTGATTCTTCTAATAGGCCTGCAGAAAAAATTGAATTCGGGCCAAATGGATGTTCATCAGATCCTGTTTGACCATCTGAAAGGGTCTGTGCGGAAAGGCTGTCATGCGGGAGGGCTAAAAGTAAGCCCCCTTTTCTGAATTCCAGAGGCAGCGCATACACGTCTACTTCATCCCCTACTGAAGAGGCAACGGCAGGTACTGTAAGCACAAGCAAGGTAGGTTCACCTTTACTTGCAGGCCTCACATTTTCTTTACTCAGCATTTCTTACGGAAGAGAGGGGGAACTGCAATGTGTGCTCCCTGGCAAAAGACTTCAATCTCTGTCTCTGTTTCGAAACCGTGAAATACACAACCTCCTGCAAAAATCTGCTGACGGAAGTGATTGAAATCAGCCTCAGATCCAAATCGAACGGCACCGCCGAGCCCACAAGCACGGAGAACAATGAAGTGAGAACTTTTCTCAGAAATCACTGCCGGGGCAATCTGATCCGTGAAAGTCTCCAATGCAAGTCTGGCCCAAAAGCCCGCAGAAAACGCAAGGTGGACACGATTCAAGGCCTCGGTCTGATCCCAAGCAATAAAAGCCGCCTGCTCTTCCACAAAGGCCGGAACTGGCCCTGGACCCTGATCAAGGGTTCGGAACTCAGGGCCAACAAAGTCTGGTCCTGCCTCTTTTTCCAACATCCACAAACGGGCAAGCTGAGGAATGCCCGGGAAGGTAGTTTTGGGAATGGATGTGCTCGCAGCTGCAGCACGGGCCTTTGGATCACCTCTACGATAACCTTTCCCTGTCCCTTTCGACGAACTGGCAGATTCCTGGTTCTTCTGCCAAACTTCCAACCTTTCAAGCCTCTCAATGAGATCACGAAGCTCACTGGAGGTAAAAGGAAAGCTCATTCAAGATATCGTGCCAGCCTGGTTCTTGGAGCAGCAGGAGCTGGAAACAAGAAATGGCGCAGAGGGACACGGAAAATCCAAAGGGCAAGCAGAAGTCCAGAAACAATCAAGCCACAGGAGAATCCGATACAAAGTCCACAGGCCAACCAGGCAATGCAAGAGGGATGGCAGTGAAATGGGCAGGAGGCAAATCGAGAGAACTCGTTAGCAAAGGCCAGCCACTTCCAGACCCTATCGGCTAAATCTACATGCATTTGTCTTGAGCGGCAAGGAACATGCATTTCACCATCGAACTTAGAAGTGCATGTATGTATGTATGTATGTATGTATGTATGTATGTATGTATGTATGTATGTATGTATGTATGTATGTATGTATGTATGTATGTATGTATGTATGTGTAGGTAGGTATGTATATTATGTATGTATGTTATGTATGTTGTATGTACTATGTATGTATGTATGTCTGTATGTTATGTATGTATGTATGTATGTATGTATGGTATGTATGTATGTATTATATTATGTATGTATGTATGTATGTATGTATGTATGTATGTATGTATGTATATGATTATCTTTGTATGATGTATGTTTATGTGTATGTTGTATGTATTTATGTATGTATGTATGTATGTATGTATGTATGTATGTATGTATGTATGTATGTATGTATGTATGTATGTATGTATGTATGATATGTGTCTTAAGCGCCAATTTTTTTATCAGCACCGATCCACCCCATCATCCCATCATCCCAGGTCATCCCAAGCGGCTGGTCAAAGGCCACTGGATCCGGGTTGGGTTCTCTCAACGAGTCCACCAGGACGGTCACCTCAAAAAACCAGGGCGGTCACCAAGGATTTTCGCCATTTTTTTATGGCATTTCTATGGCGATACCAACATACCAACCATCCCCAATCATGGTTGTTGTAAAGGAAGCAGGGTAAAAAACTACGTTTTGATTTCCCAATGAATCTTGGTGAGCTTTTCTAAAAATCCCCGAACTAATCATCCACGGAAGGGGGGTGTCTTGCAGCCACTGCTCACATTGGATAAAAACGGCAAATCATCATGTCATTTTCCATAGCTATGTTGGAAAACCGGAGGGTAGCAAGAATTTACCATCCAATTTTGGGTGTATACAATTTTTGATATACAGAAAAAGGTGAGAAAAGAGGTTTGGAAGAGGATTCACTTGGATTGCTTGGATAGTTTGTCCTAGTCTGGAGTGGTGGAACACCACTTAGTTGAGAGCGGTAATCTTAAAGAATTATTGCAATTCCTAGATGTGCTATGGTCAAGTTACGTGGGATGAATGGGGCCCTGGTCATCCAAGCGTCAATAGGGAAGCCAAACAAAATGGTAGAAAATTGGCCTTATGAACTGGCGGATGACCATCCAATACCATCCACAGTATGGGTAAGAAATTGGCAAGTCAAGCTGGAAAGTTATCTCTGGAGCTGCCGAGAATCTGCAGACATGATCTACAGTGGATCTTGGATGGTCTTGGTGCATTTCTTTGACCAGACATTGCTGATTGATCACACTTCAGATATCTAAAGATTGCTATATACATGCTAAAGCTACCTAGCAATTTTGTAGGAATCCTCATGGAATCGCCATTTTGGGCCCCCTTGAGAAAGGGAGAGGGCGCCTTTAACAAAGTGACTCAGCTGGATTAGGAAGCCTTTGACGCTATGTGAACCAAAGATGATCAATGTATACCAATGCACTGTCACAGGGCGTAGTTTATGAACGTTTGTGAGCCCTTGCCATGTCGTTCAAAATCCACTGGTAACGAATTCTCGAAGCCGCCCAACCTTTTGGACTTTAGATTTTCTTGAGGTTCGAAGAAGTCTGGCAGCGGCTGAGGCCCCAACAACAGCCTTACAAGTACCTGACGCACGCAAGTGAGACCATGGAAACACAAGACCTGGCCACTCTCGGTGTATTGACGAGATATGGCCAGAGTATATGGGATTTCCTAAAACAGGGGTACCCCCAGCCATCATCCTTTTTTGGGTGGTGATTTTCCATGAAATAAACCATCCAGCGAGCAATAAAGGGGTACCCGTGACTTTGGAAACCCCAGGTCCCTTCTGCCTTCGATCTGTTGAAGCAGATGCCGAGTTTGACGCCCCACCTCGCTCTTCAAAGGCCTCCAAAAACCCCCGGAAAACAGCCCAGAACATGCGAGGTGATCAGAGATGGCGGTGGAGGTGTCACCACAAACCGGTGGCTCTGGTATGTATTGTGCATGTATTTTGCATTTATTTTGTGCGATATTGTGTGATTTTGTATGTATTTATCTGCAGAATTGACGGATTTGTCTCCGAAAAATGGTGATGTTTGTCCCATATTGTGTATACAAGTAGCTGACCACAATGGAAAAAAATACATGATATACTACTGGCTGGTGATTGAGCCATCCCCACAGAGAGCATTGGGATTATCATCCCATTTCGTTCTTTAAACACATTCTTCAAACCAATCAAAGGGAGTCTGTTATCAGGTGCTATTCGGAAAGTGACGAAGATCTGACAGCTAGCTATTCTTGGGTTGTAAGTTGGCGAGCCCCTAAAATTGGGCGTTATTTTCTCATGATGAAAAATGGTGTCGGCATTCCGCTTTGAGGTACCCTCTGGTTATTTAACATAGCCATGGAAGCCATGGCCCATTTATAGATGGTTTACCTATTAAAAATGGTGATTTTCCATGGCTATGTTAAATAACCAGAGGGTATCATATTCAGATGGTTATTTGTACATCCCCATTCGTTCTCCTTTGGAGTTGTCCTCATGGTTTTCACACACATCTGGCCCGAGAAGCTATTCAAAAGTATCAGCTTCCGAGACTGCGAAAAACCCAGCGCTGAGCAATTGGTTTCTAGATTTCAGCTAAATGGAGTTTTCCGAAAATGGCGGTACCCCTAAATCACCCATTTTCATAGGATTTTCCACTATAAACCAAGCATTTTGGGGATCCCCCAATGACCCTGGAAACCCCCAAATGGTATGGAAATGATGGATGGATGGCTGGTACACTGCTACTGCAACCCACATCGATTGCCATCGGAGGTCCGTGTCGTCATCCTTGGGTCCCTCACTCACTCCGGAGTCCTTGGGCACACCTAAGTGCAGGAGCCATGCGCGGATAGATTTTCATTCTACAAGCTTTTGAAATAGGTATTTTGTATATTACATGCACGTATAGATAGATTAGATTAGATTAGAATAAGATTAAGATTAGATTAGATAGAAGATAGACAACGATAGACAACGATAGACAACGATAGACAACGATAGACAACGATAGATACTGATATATGATCTATGTGTATTATAATATACATCAACAATATATAATATATGATATATAGATAGATATACAAAGATCAAAGTACTGATATTACAAGTACCTCAATCCAGAGGGAGCTGTTGAGCAGCTCGTCGAGGCTCCCTCAAACTTGCAGATTGCCAAACGAAAGCCCGGAGGTATTCGTATCATCTGGTAATTTAACGTAGCTATAGGAAATGACCATTTTAAATATCATCATAAATCATCATGTTAGACAACCAGAGGGCATTGGATCTATTCGATCTAATCCCAAAAGTGGTCCCGCATCATGGTGTAAATCCCCGACTACTTGGCATGGTTTCTGGTGGTGATCGACTGATCCAACCAACATATGCGTCATATGTAGGGCCCAGCCAAAATGGAATGGTCAAAACTGAAAACTTACCCTCTGGTAAACAAACATAGCTATAGAAATCACTATTTTCAATGGGTAAATCAACTATAACATGGCTATTTTCAATAGCTATGTTAGTTTACCAGAGGGTATGAATGTTCATTTGAGTGTGTTCAGGGACCTCAATTTATTGACCCATCCACACTTGTGAATCCCCATTACTGGCTGAATCCCACTTGTTGCTGTAGGAATCGGACCCATTGTTGGACATTTCATCCCCCGTTTTTGTTGCTTATGTTCCCATTTCTATTGGTGCAAGAATGTATCCCTAGTCAAATATATTTTCTGTGAATGGATAGGATAGCAACCACAAAAAGAATGGATAGAAAGTACAACCTCTGAAAAGAAGTGGTGTTGATAGTACCACCTGTTCTCCATCTTTTTGGGGAGGACCGGGATGACCCTCTTGGTTCCATCAAAAGTGGCTGGGGCTGGAAACTCCCCCAGAAAAATGGATGAGAAACTCCACTCCCAGCAAGAAACCTCTATTAAAATATGGGATTTTCCGTGGCCAGGTTTTTTTTTCGCAGACACATATCCAGTAAAAAATCCCATTCTATTCTATTCTATTCTATTATATCCCTAATATTATCCCATTCAGGCCCTAATGGGATATTACTAATGGGATATTAGGGATAATCTAATCTATTCTATTCTATGTTCCTATATTATCCCATTCATATTATCCCCTGTAGATGGGCCAGCGAAGATCTCTGCATCACCAACTGGATGGTTTTTTTAACCCAACAAAAACAATGGGATGTCTACCACTGACCTAGAAAAACTGGTGCACGATTTCGCTGGCCCATCCACCGTATTATCATTAACACTCTATGAAACCACCACAATTGTAGTGGTTCATATAAGCCATAATTATCATTGATAATCACATATCTTATCTTATATATCTTATATAATAATGCTATGATAACTATGGGTTATCATTAATCATCATCCACATAATTATGATTTTCATAATTTTGAACAGCTATTTCTACATGTCTTGATCTCAACGGATTCTCCCTTGCATTTTTCGAGGGGAGCCCACAATCTTCGACTCATTTCCCCACTGGGACATGTTGACTCGGTCAGAGCTGTAAGGGCTGAAACCAGGCCATCGTCCAGGCTGCCTCGGCCATTTTCCAGCAATTTTTGGGAAAAAATGGGAGAAAAATGGGAATCATTCAAATTTCATAGGGAGAAAAATGGAACTTAATGAAATTTCATAGGGAGAAAAATGGGAATT